TTTTTTTTTTTTTTTTTTTTTTTTTTTACAGAAAGCATGTCTTTTGTTCCTTAGTGAGTTATGAGTATTGAAGAAACTTTTTCCATTCAATCTGTTAAGGTATCATGTAGACAAAGATGTTTTTGTTATCAGACATCATAAAGGATATTCATACAAAATATTTGTCTTACATATGAAGTGCTTCATTTGTCAAACTTAATATCAAGATAACCAATCGTCTTATATCTATTCTTCTTAATGTTTGATATGAAAAAATTTTCTTTTAGAAAAACATCTATGTTTGTTATCATTAAAATTTAAAGTTAGAGGAGTTTTAAAATCGTCTTTTATCTCTAAAAAAAAGGTCGTCTTTTGACTTCATATACATTTCAACATATCTCATAAAAAGAATCCTCATTATCTTTTTCTCTTGTTCATTCATTTCAACATCATACCATCTAAAGAAGTTGCATCCCTTCTTATCTTTCCCTTGCACAAAACAACAAATTGATGTGAAATTTCTCGAAAGATTATTTTAAAACCCTAAACCTAACTTAATGAAATACCTCAAAACTCTCACACCCAAAGAATTTGTGCTTGAATTTTCTTTTGTCCAACCAAAATGTTGTTCAAATTTATCGTTACAAAATAAATATAACATAAAAAATGTGAATGAGGTAGTCACCATTAATAAGTAATTGTTCCAATGTATCATCTTATTTGTTCCTTATGTGAAAGTCACACAGATAAGTAATTGTCAAATAATCGCACTCAGACATGTCAACATTGCATTTTTTTGCTTAAATTTGAATGATATGTTAACAATGAACTAATATTACTTAATTTTGAAACTATGAGATCAAATATACAAAAAAAAAATTGGAGATTAAAATTTCACTTTCGCAAAATTATAAGGACCAAAAGTGATTTAAAACCTTTAAATAATAATATTTTTAAAAATTTACAATCATAACATTTTATTTGAAAAACTTAATGCATTTTAACGCAATTCAATTTCTAATTTCCCTAGTGTAAAAACAGAAGTTACCAGAATTCAATGTGTTTAGATTATAGTTAGAAAGTTAAACAAACTTAAAAAAAAAAAACAACCTTCTAATTTTTTTTTATTGAAGTTTACTTGTAATTCACATTTAATTGAATAGGAAAAAAAATTGCCAAACATGTAGGCATTGCGTTCGAAACCGACAAACTAAAGTTACAACTCAAGCCCATTGGTATGTTCTTTTATTTCTGCTTTTCTTTTTCTTTCTGCTGTTTTTTGGTTGCCCCGGGGGGGGGGGGGGGGGGGGG